ACACTAATGTCTTTAGGGACGTGATGAAAGTTAATATAATAGTTAGCTTACTTAGGAGCATTGCAATCCGCTGACGCACACACGCTTGTTCCGCAATGGTCCTCTCTACTTTTCTGAGTCCGGCCTACATAGTGGGGCTCTAGGGCAGAGCTTGGAACTGTGATGTAGGAAATCTCATTGTTTCTGAACCTGTTGTTTGGGTCTGACAGAGGTTCACAACAATTTGAACGCTGAAATACCCAGAAATGCAATTGTGCACTTACTATTCTCGTGATATGTCCTGTAGCATAAAAAAAGCCATATAAACATGTAGACAACAAGAAAAACATGATTTTCATCGGAGTGGGCCTTTAATAATGATGTGTATAATGACCACACCTCTTCAACACCATGTCCTATTTATATGTTGGGAACTTGTGCTCTGAGTTTCCAGAAATCCTTAATGAAATTTGTCATGAGAGGTTGGTACCCAGTCAGTGCCTTTAGGTGAGGTGTTTTTCACGTCCACGCATCCCACACATGTCGGTTCACCTGCTGAGAGCTCCTGACAGCTGAGGTCAGCTCTGCAGCACTTGAAATCCTCTGATTTCTGAGGTGATTTGCAAGGTTGACAGAGTTATCACACCCATTTACTCCCATTTAAGATGATAGATTCAAACAGAGTGTTGCAGTTCTACAAATGATTGATATAAATGACTAAAATACACTGTTCAAACTATGGATTAAAAATGTGTTTTCAGGTTCCTGGAGTTCTGACACTGAGGTTTTTGTTTATCATGCTTTATATCAGCAAAAAACTAATTAATACCAAACATACTATTGTTCTACATTTATTTATATTTGCTGTAGATTACTCTGCACTTAAGTCAATGTATTCAGCACAATCTCTGTCTGCAGGCAAGGAAAATTAATTTTGTTTTTAGTCTCGCTTGCTACACTTTTTTATGAGGAAAATTGAATTTCATGACCCCAAAATAAGCACTTAAGGACATGCTGCCCTATATTAAGAAGATCCAAACCAACATATTATATGCATAAATATGAAGTGGATTGTATTAAATTTTGCTTATTAAAAACCGAATACTTTAATAGATTTTCTTTTAAATCCTAATAACATGTTGACACTCTTGAAGGTATATATTAAGTCCTGTATGAGCACAAAGGTTGTTTGTCCCTTTGCTAAGAGCCATAGAAATGAAACTAACCAACCACTTCAACCACCCAGTGAGGTTTATAGAGAAGTTCGTGCTCTGTGTTTGAATAAGAGGCTGACTAACATTGAGTGTGTGACACTTTTGATTTCACTCAAAAACACAAGTCACCTCTTTGACAAATTCATCCACCATGAGCAGGACTCTAAGCAGACTTTCACTTCATCACCTGACCTCCTTTTTTGCTCCCACCACGACAGCCACTGTTGTGATAACCAAGACAAACAGTTCTTCCTTAAGCTGTCATTGTTCATGGGACACCAGTATTGGTTTGTGGGAGAACTGAGACATACCCCTGAAGACGCTTTTGGGCCAAAGTTTTTTAGGTGAGTGTCCAGTGTCACAACTGATAGCCCAAAGTAGACTGCAGTCAGACACTTCCAGCCAAAGCGTCACTTTCTGTGTGTTTCTTTCTATTGGTTGTAGCAGCTGGGGTCAGGCAGGTCTACAGCCAAGCCAAGAACACTGAAGATGAGGAAATCCAGGGGCTTCCAGAAATGTGACTAGAAGTTGAGTTGATTTCTAATTTGAGTAAAGTGATTCACCTGTTTTAAGTTTACTTTTTAAACAATCCAAAGCAATATTAGAAATATCCCTTTGAATGTCTACAGCATTACTGAAAAAGGATTTTTATGGCTTTTGTTGAGTAATATTAGTGGAGCATGATATGACTGAGATGCACCAAGGTACATTTTGATTTGTTGTACCTTAAAAATAAAGAGAAATTGATCTGAATGGTTAATCTTGATCCATGAGATTAACATGAACCAAATTATCCATGAACCAAACTGAACTATGAGATTTTTAGATCAGTTGCTCCCCTAATCCACATGAGGCTCATAATGCATCCACAGGATAAACTGGGATGACTGAGTGAATTAGGTTTGTGTTCCCCATAATTCCTGCTTGGTCTTCTGGCAGTCTGAGCTGCTGACTTACCTCTGGCACCAACCAGCATGTCAAACCACAGAGTGAGAAATAAACACGGACAAAAAAAAAGTTGTCAGTCACTCCAAAAGGTGAAAATATAAATGCGAAATGTTCAAAACATGAATCTCCAACAAGGCTTAAAATAACAAACAGTGGAAATGTGACTTGGCAGCATATGCAGGTCGTAATATCGAGCACTCATATTTAGCGTGTGCTCTCTGCAGCTTTGAATGATGGCTGTAGAAATGATGGAGAAAGGAATTAGAAACCTCCCAGCTTGCCTCCTCTACTCCCAGCCAGGACAAATAAATCACGCAGTCACGGTAAATGACTCAAGCCTGTCATAAACCTGACAACAGTTGGAGACTTTGCCTTCTGACATGTGCATTTAATCTGATTTTATTTGTATGTTGCTCCCTAATAGCAACGCAACATTGCGAGCGAGTCACCACCAAGGGAGATGGTAACAATAAAGCCTCCCTCTGGCTCTGTTGTCACAGAATTGCCTCCTGTTGAGTTTTGCTGTTTTTGGCCTGTTTAAAATTCATACATTCTGCGCTGACATACCAGACTCTTTATTGAAGTGTTAATAAAATTCTAATCAATGTTTTGTAACTTATTGTGTCATTAAAAGGGGCTTTGTCAAGATCTGCCTGGAAAAAGTCAGCCATCTTTGGAATATTAAAGATGCAATTGCTGGATAAACTTTCGGAAGCGCTTGCTGCCAAACAGTTCACGTGAAAGCTGCAGTGTGAAAAAAAAAAAGATAAAAGATTAAGGAAAAAAAAATTGCTGAATAATCATCACTTTTTTTATGGCCAGCGCCAATAATTAGAGAGCAGGTCAACTGCTGACAGATACATATTGCTTATATGTTGTTTTGTTTTTCATTTGATTTATTACAACATTTTTTATTCTACGCACATCACAATCTAATATGCTTTAATATCTTAGCCAGTGACATGCTTGAGATGGAGTTTTATATTTATTTCAGAAGTAATATTAAACTCCATGATGCTATTCCCCTAGGGGTGTAACGGTACGTATTTGTACTGAACAATTTTGGTACAGGGTGTTCGGTTCGGAATGGAGGCGTACCAAAGTGTTTCCACATGGACAAATTAAGTAGAGGACCGCACGTTGGGGAGCATGCTGCAGCCGCACATGCGCAGTTGCGCACACCAAGACACGACAAACGGCAGATTTAACCAACAAGTAGCAAATGTCATGGCTAATTCTGCCAGCGTTGGCAATTTGCCAGAGCTTTGGGACCCTCCCGCGACATTAAGGTCTCTCGATTGGGAACACTTCGGCTTCCCAGTGAAATATAAACAGGGACGAAGAGAAGTTGATAAAACCAAAGCAGTTTGCTGACATTGTTCATCTGAGATCGTGTAGGCTTCTGGCAACATGTCAAACCTGGTATCTCATATGAAACAGCACCACCCCCATGTGGACATCGCTACAAAGAGGAGAATGAGTGTAGTGTAAACTCAGCTCCCCCCACATTTAAAGGTGGGGTGGGCAGGAATCCGTTAAGGAAGCGTATTTTTTGTGGTGTATATATACAAAAGATTTTAATATCAGTCATCAGCTATTAGTCATTGATGACATTTGGTAATATAACAATATTGCTGTGTTTTGTTATGTCTGTGAAGTCAACATTTTAAAATTTCAGAGCGCTCCGCTCTTTCTGACTGTAAACAAAGCCATTCCCCGCCTCCCCCATCCTGACTGGTTATGAGGCAGACACTTCTCCCCCGTGTCATTCAGGAGCCCAAACAAAGTTAGCATGCTACAATATCAGACAGTAGAAACCAACCAGAAAGTACAGAAAATTGTCTGAATCCTCCTTTGGCAATGACTTTCAACACAAGCAAGAGAACAAAGTAAATACCGGAGACTCTGGCGGAATAACAGGCGCTTAAAAAGGAGGTAGACCTAACAAGAGCTAAGAAGCCGGGTCAATGATGGGGGATGCTTCTGGATCTTACGGACTCTTTAACCTTTCTGCTGGACAGGTAAACGGCTTTAACAAAGTAAGCCAAGTGTAACAGAAGTGTTTCTTGTCAAATGGGACCTGCTGCATGTTGTAGCACCACTAAACCGTTTACCCTGGGTCCTGGACTATATCATTTTATCCTGGTTGTAGAAATCCTACAAACATTGTGTTTGCTGGTAGTCTGTTGGCATCTACAGTAGCACCAATGCTGTTTACTTTGACGTTGACTGGGCCCCACTTGTAATTATCTGCATTATATCTGAATTTGATTGAAATGATACGGGTGAGCAGGAGCGTCTGTTTGTGGGCGGAGCTTGCTGGATCAGAGATGGAGGGAAGAGGAGCTGAGAGGAAAACTGGTTGGGAGGGGTAGTGTTTACATTCAAGATTTCTCCCTCAAACTGGCACTTCCTCAGATCCTGCCTACTTCACCTTTAAACAGCCTCTCCCTGGTGAGTCAGATCGGGCTAAAGCAATAACAAATGCCGTTTGTGTTTTTATAGCTGCAGATTTAAGACCACATACTTATTTTAGAATCCTGTATTTATACTTTATTTTCTATTGAACTGAACCGTGACTTCAAAACCAAGGTACATACTGAACCGAAATCTTTGTGTACCATTACGCCTCAATATTTCTCATTACAAAATATATGCGTTCATTTCTTTTCTTTACTTTAAGTGCTTTGGCTTAATTTCAGTGATAACTTCCATTCAATTAAATGGCAGATTTCACTTGTACTAAAGTATTTTTACAGTTTGTGTCAGACAAACTGAAGAATTTGAGTTCTTTATGCAACGTGATAAAATGCAAGCGTATAGTCTTTTCAAGCTTATATGAAATTTATTTTATGATGTTTAGACCTGGACTTTTGGGATGATTTGGAATATATCTCACTTCCGAATACTCGTGATTGTGACAGCCTCTCTCTAGGCATGCTCACTTTGTCCTTCACTTCTCAGACACACACAGATTCACACACCTGCTTCCTCCTGCTCCTCTCCCTGCTCTCCTCCCTCCACCTTTAGCCTGTACCACTGCTGCAGTACCTGTGAAACATACAGCATCCACCATTAATTCTGGCGTAGCTCTAACATCTTTGTGCTCCCAAACCTTGTTTTACAATGATCCAAGCTGCTGCTGATGGAGTAAAAGTGAGAACTGTTTGAGGGGAGGGGCCATGCCCATGATCTGCTGTTAAAGAAGAGAGAATAGGACATAACAGGGGCCAAATGTCAAGCAGCAGAGTCTCAATTATCATATTTTTATGATTTTGGGGAGCCATAATTGTAATTGAAGCTGAAATCCAATTAATCGCCCAGCTGTACTAGACAATGAATGTTTTAGATTTTAAAGAATGGGAAAATGTGTTTTCATATAGAGGGATGAAAACTTACCGCTCAGTAGCCACAGTGACTGCTGTCTGCAGACATTTTCTTCTCTTTTTAAACCGGTGGACTATTTCAAAATCACATCAATCAGCCCCGTTAATCGGCCTGAGAGATTGACTGAGGTAACCTCTGTCTGAGTTCACAGCACAAAATTGATACCATGTACAAAAAGAACTGAAATGCACTGCAGTATATTTAGAGTATGACTTGTTCAGAGAGTCACTGTACTTCAACAAATGTTTTTAATGGTGAGCTACCATGCTCCGTTCCCTCCTATTATAAACTTCTTTCATACTGAAGAGACTCTCACCAAGAATAATCCAAATATTTAAGCTGTTTCTTTTTTTTTTTCATTGTGGATATTATTACTATTTTGGCATCCAGAAAACTGCTGCACAACCTGCTCCTTCAACATAAAGTTTTACATTTTATTTACATCAGCATTTAGGACTGCAAGTCAGCACTAAAAACACATCTCATGTAGTTTTTCATTGTTTGCCTCTACATTTAAAACAAAACCACCACAGTTGTCCAAAGATGTGTGTGTTCCTCTGTTACTGTGTGTAAGTGTGTGTGAGCGTGTAGGTCCTGTCTTCCTCCATATGAGCTGAATTTATGGTCCATATTTTATCATATTTAATCACACTCAACACTACAACTAACCTCGGCTGACTTTCATAACTCTGCATGGTACTCATGACTAAGTCTGCGTGCTCGTATGTGTGTGTGAGTAAGACTGTATGAGTATGACTTTCAGAGCATCTGCTGGGTGCAGGCATGGCAGGGGGGCACAGGTGGTATATTGTTTGTAACCACACACACTCACACACACTCGTACACACTGATGGAGCTCACAGATGCTGACCTTGTACGAGGCCAGGCTCCTGGACTGTCAGCACTTGTCACACACATACACATACACACACTAAGGATGAGGTGCCCATTTACTCTGGGCTTGTCAGAGGCTGCCATCCCTCCCAGTGGGGGTATATGTGTGCTGCTGGGGAATGAGAGGGGTATCGAGGTGGGGGTACTGATGAATAATGCTGCAGGTAATGAGATGGGTGATGGCGACAGACATACAGGCAGACGGAGACTTGTTTATGTGTACTTTGCTGCCGTATAACTTCTTGAATTATTTGTGAAATTGGTGGAAAGATATAAGCCACGCTCTCTGAGCTGGGAGTCAAAGCTGCGATACAGGAACATATTCACACGTACCCAGCGGGGTTATGATCCTGAAGGTGCTCTCAGATAAGCACTGCATTATATGCACACTGTGACAAATCCTCTATACCAACAAAAGTCAGGAGCTATCCAAGGAAATACTTGGGAATTAAAATCCTTGTATTTACCATGACTTCTCAGCCAAACGCACTCCTGAAGATGCATGTGTGCACTGGAGCAAAAGCCTCTTCAAACAGCATTGATGTTACTACAGCTGCTGCAGACACTGGAGGATAACACAGAAGAACAACTTTTCAGCCTGAAGCTGATTATTCTCTTTACTTTTCTGATTTCAATATCAGCCGATGTTGGACTTATTCTGAGTGATTAGAAAAGTGTAACAGGTGTTATTAATACTAGAGTAAGGGAAAGCAGGCTGTGGATTCCTTGAGATAAGACCCGACAGTCCATCAATCCACAGGTGAGGCATGAAGAGCAGCCCTGAACTCAGCATCCATGCCCCTTGTTGGAGTTCTGAGTCTGCTTGATCAATAGTAGGAGACTGTATTTTGATGATCAGAGTGTTTTATGCTGAAGAAGAAGAAGCTGAGCACAGCAGAACGAGAGGAGGGGACACCTTTTTGGACACACTGCCAAGTAGTGAAAGGTAAAGAGGGCATTGAGGTTCTGCATCCAATCTACACTAAAATGACAAATGACCGGAGCAGAACAAAGTCAAAGTCTAACAGGACTGGAGATATTAGGGGAAAATGATGGCTGACACCTTGATTTTCCATCACTTAATAAAGAGAATGATGTAAACAGAAAACAAAAACCAAGGCTAGTTCTCTGTTCACAAATGCTCAGGCAAATTTGTGGGCTCTGTTCAGGCAGAAAAGTCATATCTCCAATTGTTTCCTTCTCCTAAACTAAATTATTTATCTGAAGCACGTGCATTAGTACAAATTCTTTCTGTCTCCATTTATTTATTTATTTTTCATTATCATTGGATGGTTCCTCACGTGTGTCAGTAGGAAATCTATTTGTACAAGGAATCCAGTACTAGCTATCTATTTAGCTATCCTCACAATATCCAAACAAAGCTCCTGCTATAGCTAGCATCACAAGAATGAGGTCTTTTACAACCTGCGCCTGTAGAAAGTGAGAAAAGAGACACCCTATGGACACTTTTAAAGACAAGGCGACGTGGATTGTCCCCCAATACAACAGAGAGCCTTGTGGAAACACCTGCTGAGTCTGCCTGGGTAAGTCACAATGATGTATGCGGAAAACTCAAAACTTTTTTTTTTTTTGGGATTGGGTCACAATTGGTTTGTGCAATGGATGGTAGCATTCTTTGACTAGGTAGCAATAGTAAACATAACACGTTAGTGAGAAGCATGTCATGCTACATTAACTGATCATTGACTTTATCAGAGCCAAGCTACATAATTGTACACATCCACCTACTCTGTCTAAAATCTGATTTATGAATACTTTAGACTGATATTCAGACCCTGAGTCATTCAGCAAACATTAGCAGGGTGAAGTAAAATGTTACTCCGTGCTGTCAGGGGAAATGTGTGTTTTTGAAATGTCCACATTTTTTAAGAAGTTTAAAGCATTCAAGTTTTTCAGTGACAAGAAAAGGTCTAAGTCCGAAATGCATTTTCAGCCAAGATAGCCAAACACTTTTTAAGGACCAGGAGAAATATTTCTTTAAAAAGAATCAGATAACTGAAAAAGCTTTGACCCTGACGTTGACTGAAATTTGATTAAAATTAACAATGATGACTACAAATAAAAACTGATGTCCTCTGACTAAAACAACACAAGACCCAAAGATACAGATATAAGCGAATCCTCCAGTTTTCTGAAAATGACTACAATTAAGAAACTAAACTCAAATTTCTTGTCAAAAATAACAAAAAACACAGAGGAGGGTGGAAGAAAGATGAATTGTACGAGAGAAAAGCAGTCCATCCCCTTTAATTTAAGATTGTTTTATAATGTTCTTTAATTATAACAAACAGTGCAGGAAAACAAAAAAGTTCAGTCTGCACCAAACCTGGAAGAAGTTTATTTGTTTACAACTAAAACAAAGACCAACAGTGAATTAAAGTTTTTCGTGTTCACTCAGAAATTGCAGAAACCAGCTGTTTATAAAATCTGTACTTACATCCGGAAAGTATTCATACCACTTCACTTTTTCCACATTTTGTTATGTTACAGCTTTATTCCAAAATGGATTAAATTCCTTTTTTTCCCCTCAAAGATTCTACACAAATACCCCATAATGTCAAAGTGAAAGACTTTTTTTTAGAACATTTTACAAATTTATTAAAAATAAGAACACTCAAATGTTATAAGTATTCACACACTTAATACTTGGGCGAAGCACCTTTGGCAGTGATTACAGCCTCCAGTCTTCTTGTGTATGATGCAACAAGCTTGGCACACCTGGATTTGGGGAGTTTTTCCCCATTCTTCCTTGCACATCCTCTCAAGCTCAGTGAGGTTGGATGGCCAGCGTTGGTGCACAGCTGCTTTCAGGTCTTTCCAAAGATGTTCAATCAGCTTCAAGTCTGGGCTCCAGCTGGGCCACTCAAGGACATTCAGAGACTTGTCCTGAAGCCACTCCTTTGTCTTCTTGGCCGTGTGCTTAGGGTCATTGTCATGCTGGAAGATGAAGCGTCGCCCCAGTCAAAGGTCTCGAGCGCTCTGGAGCAGGTTTTCATCAAGGATTTCGATGTACTTAGCTGCATTCATTTTCCCCTTGATCCTGACAAGTCTCCCAGTTCCTGCCACTGAAAAACATCCCCACAGCATGATGCTGCCACCACCACGCTTCACTGTAGGGATGGTATTGGCGAGGTGGTGAGCGGTGCCTGGTTTCCTCCAGACATGACGCTTGGCATTAAGGCCAAAGAGTTCGATCTTTGTTTCATCAGACCAGGGAATTTTTTTTCTCCTGGTCTGTGAGTCCTTCAGGTGCCTTCTTGCAAAGTCCAAGCGGGCTGTCATGTGCTTTTTACAGAGGAGTGGCTTCTGTCTGGCCACTCTACCATAAATGCCTGACTGGTGGAGTGCTGCAGAGATGGTGGTCCTTCTAAAGGGTTCTCCCATCTCCTCAGAGGAACGCTGGAGCTCTGTCAGAGTGACCATCGGGTTCTTGGTCACCTCCCTGACCAAGGCCCTTCTCCCCCCGCTTGCTCATTTTGGCTGGGCGGCCAGCTCTAGGGAGAGTCCTGGTGGTTCCAAACGTCTTCCATTTCTTAATGATGGAGACCACTGGTTTTTGGGATCTTCAATGCAGCAGATATTTTTCTGTAACCTTCCCCAGATCTGTGCGCTGATACAACCCTGTTTCAGAGGTCTACAGACAATTCTTTCCACTTCATGGCTTGGTTTGTACTCTGACGTGCTCTGTCAGCTGTGGGATCTTATATAGACAGGTGTGGCTTTCCAAATCATGTCCAATCAGCTGAATTTGCCGCAGGTGGACTGCAATCAAGTTGGAGGAACATTTCAAGGCTAATCAATGGAAACAGGATGCACCTGAGCTCAATTTTGAGTTTTATAGCAAAGGGTGTGAATACTTATGTTTATGCAACATTTGAGTGTCTTATTTTTAATAAATTTGCAAAATGTTCTAAAAAAAAAAAAAAAAAAAAGAGTCTTTCGCATTGTCATTATGGGGTATTTTGTGTAGAATCTTTGAGGGGAAAAAAAGGAATTTAATCCATTTTGGAATAAGGCTGTAACATAACAAAATGTGGAAAAAGTGAAGTGGTATGAATACTTTCTGGATGCACTGTATCTTTCAGATAACTTTGTTGTGTTAGCTGATGACTTAACCTGAGCCAGAAAAACAGAAAAACAAAAAAATAAATAAAATTTTTTTTGAATCAAACCACCCGTTGGCCTGTAAAATTAAAAGTGAAATAAATGAATGTTTATTAGCTTAGTGTAAAGCTAGCTTAGTACATATTTCATGAGGTTTAACAGCCCAATAAAAAATGAGTCTTTCTGACCTGGCTGCTCAGCTGCTTGTGTACCGTCAAGGTTTCGTAGGCTTGTAGAGCCTCTTTTCACAGTTTTTGCTTCACGGCATAACCAAAACACTTCTAGCGGTTAAACCGTGAATCAAGAATGCTAAAATCTTTTCCAGAGTAAAAACGTAAAGCTCAGCTGGTGATAAATCTTTGTGCACTTGTTACCATTAGCAGCACCTTTCCAATGAATCTAATGTTAATCCAAGTATAGTTACCGGGCCACTTACAGTTATGCCAATAAATAGAAAATAAAAGTGTTGCTTTCACAGAGAGTAGTCAATCTAAAGCTACAGGACAACACAAACTCAATTACAGACCTGGTACGCCTCCATTCATGAGCTGCAGACGGGAGTAAAAACACTAGGAGCCCATCATGCATTGTAGCTTTAAAATGTGTTTGCATATTTTATGGCTTTTTTATGAGCTTTTGATACATTAACTTACCTACATAAAGTGAGAGGTTAGGCTCCTCTGCACCATCTCCTGTACTTTTCTTTATTTAACTTCATATTAATCTCACTGGACACTGAATCCTCTCTTTAAAACAGCAAGAGCAGCTGACATTATCTTTATGATCCTCAGTATAAACTGGACATGTTAATTACACTCTTGGTTACAGGCGGGGTTCAAAATTACAGCTCGTCAAGAGGAAAACGGCAGTAAAATTTGTCTTTGGCAGATAAATCAGTCAGGGTCATCTGGAACACTGGCTGACTGTGAAACGTGGATGTTTGGGAGAGCCTTGGTCATGTTCAGTCTTTGGTCTGTGTCAAAATCAAAGCTTAACAATGACAAGGCTCCTGCTGTCATACTACTCTACACAAACATGCTTGTTTTCTGCACAGATCTCTCCTAATGCTGGTTTATATTCTACTCCATGTGGATTAGGACTAAACATAGGAGACATTTATGGTTATGGTTACAGCTCGTGTCAGTTTGGTTTACGATTTTCTGTCATGTTCATTTAAATCAAGTTCATTCTTTCAGCCCAAGACCACAAATTTGTTTCAGTGTGCTTTACTTTAGGCAGCGAAGTGCTGCAAGACATTATGATTGTATGAAAGTAGAGGACGTATTAAGATAATTCATTTCATAAAAAGCACTTGCACTACGCTCTAAAGTAAAAGTCCAGCCTCAAATATTAACCAAGTTAAAATATGCTGCTATAATCGGGAGAATTTACATCCAGTTTTGAAAGTAAAAATATTCTGTGCAGAAACTTATCAATTCTATAAATTTGTTTAATGCCCCTGCTGTCGTCTCTCCATCAGCCTTAAATTGTGTCTCCGCCAAAAGTATTTGAAACTTTTAGTTCCTGAAACTTCTCCAAGGAACTAAAAGTTTCCTTCTGTTGCCTGAATTTCCTGTCAAAAATATGCCAGCAGATTTCCTCCCTGTTAAACAGACTTGCATTGTTATTCAAGCACAATAAGAATAAGCATAGAGGAGGTTCAAGTCATGCTGCTGGTAGTAATGCTTGCTATAAGTTGCTATTAAAAAGTAAACAGGGTTTAGACTTTGCATCACTCTAGCTGTATGCTTTCTTCCCTACTGCTTGTAAGCCCATCAATCAAAAAAACATATAATTCATTGGGAGTTTAAGATTTTCGTACTGAAAAGGGATGCAAACCTCCTCCTTAAAGTTCCTCTAGTTTTAAAAAAGTACTAAATGCCGAGCAGTTTTTTAAAAAAATATTACCTGAGGGCTTTTATTGAGAGAGATAAGACAGTGAATAGAGTTTGAAAAACATGGAGGAAAAAGTGAGGTATGATTATGAGAAGGGGCTGGGGGTTGGAGCCCAACCCTTTCCCTTGTACCATCCATGTTGTATCCACATTATTACAACTCTTGAACACACAACACACGAGAGGCCTCAGCTTCAAGGGGGTGGCTGGTTCCTACAGCTATTTCTGGTACCTGGCATATAATTCCTGTGATAAAAACTGCAATTATCTGTGGTTGTTGGTCTTTTTTTTTTACCTGGTGCTTGAGAGACCCTCCTTTTTTGAGGTATATCTTCAGCTCAAGAGAGACCTTGGCTGGTCTCTATAAATGCAGGCTTTTGTTCTTTTTTCAGTATATTGCTGGAATAAATGCAGAAATACAACATGGAGCCCTAACTGCTCGTATTGCTTGGATGTGTATTCAGTGATTGTGGATATTTGGATATTTCATTGAAACTACAGGCTGCTGCTCCTCTCCACAGTGAATCTCTGCGCTAGGAACAGATCGGATATTTTTGCAGGAGCGATTCATGGGGCGTAAGGGGTTACCATCAACAATGGATTTGGCAGGTTTTACTTAGCTAAAAGCAATCACTACAATATGCAGTGATTGGTCTGGTTATTGATTGTGCATATCAACGCCAGATATTATGTTCTGGGAGCTGCTCAGTGTAACCCTGCTGGCTGAGAGCTCTGCAGCTCTGATATGGAGCAGCTGGAGGTGAAAAAACCTCAAGTCAGGGCGAGGTTAGCTTCTAAGAACAAAACAACAGATTTTATGAAAAATAAAACATAAGCAAGAAAAGACAAAAACAACATAATGTTCCGTTTACCTTTGGCTGGACATTTTAGCCTTTCTTTGTAGGAGTGTAAGGATAATAATCTGCTGTTGCAGCTGCTCCAGAAAAAAAACATTTTCACTTTTATTTAGAAAGAGAGAAGAGAAAAAAAACAATTCTCAGCTACAATAAACACAAACATGGGAGATCCATGTAATGTACTTTCTCTCTGTGCCCACGGTCAAAATGTACCCTGTCTGTACATACTGATATTGAAAGCAACAAAAAGCCATTGCATGCCAACCTTGAGTTTCTGTCAGGAACAAAAAACACCCAGAGCAGGGAAAAAACAGATAGGAATTGATTTGATGTAATATGATGACTGCTTTGCCCCTGTCTGTGTGAAACTTTTGCTGCAGTGGATAAAAAGCCCTGCTGCCTATGAAAGTATACGAGAACAAAGCAGGTCACAGTGGCTGCAAAGTTTGGAGAAATCAACAGTGGCTCCCTAATTTTAATTCATAAGCAGTAAGTCAGCCGTGCAATCAATCCTGAAAAATTCAGACAAGGCCACACTTGACCAAGAAACCACATAACAGCCAAAGCAACCACCTGATCACTCATATCACATAAAAACAATCTGAAAGGGGTCCTGCACCTTTTACCTCTGCGCGTTGACATGATGGCAAAAACATTATTTTCCAACATAAAAATTACTTTAATCTCATTTTACCCGGAGAGCACGAAACTTTCGATTTGTACTTTAGAGGGCTGCACTGGGATCCCACAGACCAAACACTCATCTCACAAGAGCTTTAACATTATTGCAGGTGGCAACAAATGGTAAAAAATATCCCTGTATATCTTGCATACAGCTGGTGCAACAGATAATCAAATCAACTTATGAAGATTTAATGTGGTTATTACAAAACATAGACGAAAAAAGGCAGGCGGACAAATTTGGACGATCCCAAGCTGTGACTGACAACAATCAATAGGACCTGGATTTTGTTACGAGCAACAAATGTATTAAGTTCAACTGGCATGGATCAGGCACATCTATGTTGAGGAGACGCACTGGCACAGTCCTTCCTGGTCAAAGTGTGACGGATTAAGCACTTCTTTGTGTGGATGTGGGTGGGGTTGGTCACAGCAGCGGGCAATAATGTTGTATTGGAGTGCTTCAGGTTGTAAATCAAATAAACTTCAATAATCTGAGTTATGGTTATTTTACGGCTAAGTGTTTGAAAAGCAGCCACAAAGACTATAGAAAGAGAAAACCAGAGGAAAGATCAGGTCATATTTTGAGGTTATAGACACATTTGACAGCCCATCTTGTATTCCTGTTTTTATTACTGTTTTTACAGTTTTTGCAATGCCTTGTTTTTACCTCACTTGTTTTTTTAATCATTTATCTTATCTTGTTTATCTTGCCCTACGTTTTGTATATGTAGGCTACTTATAAAATGACCTGACATCTCCCTCTGTCCTATGCTTAAACATGTTTACTTGACTGACTGACTGACTGACTGATTGATTATTTATGTATGCTATTGACTGACTGTATAATTAAATGAATATGCACTGGAAAGCCACAAATGAATTGCTCCCTGTGGGATAAATAAAGTTGTCTGAACTGAACTGAACTGAACTGAACATTGGCAAACAGCAGAACACAGCTTAAGCTAGCACTGAGTGACTTCCTAGCAAACGAATACATTTAAAGAAATTACAGAAACAATGAGGAAGGAGAAACATTCGCACACAAATAATGATTTTAGATGACTTCTTTGGAGGTGTTAATGTTTATCATTATTATGTTGGTGTCCATTTTAGCAGGCAGGCACAGATTTGAGGGCGGATAAGGGAAAGTGATGCAAGATTCCCTCCTGTAACGCATCTTCAAAAGGCAACAATACAGGTTGGAAGCCCCAGTGAATTATTTTGTAGGAAAAAGGTTTTGAAAGTTTTTATCCAATTAAATTTATGAGTTAATACCCTACAGGGACCTCTGGGGTCATTTTTGAGAGTTATTTATACCTACAGCATTTATTTTACTTAAAAATCAGAAAACAGGATATGACAGGATTAGGATAAACAACAGCTACAGGAAAGATGGTAGACTGTATGGACAACTTGGTTCTGCCTTCCATCATTATACGAATTTGAAGCAGAATTGCTCTCTGTATTTCCAGGGTTTCTCTCCACCTCCTGGAACTACCACTTGCGCAGTAGCGTTGTACGCATTTGGCAGGAGAGTTGCCAAGAGTCGCTGTGATGGCGCTTTTAAAATAGATAAAACTTGGAGCTGTACAGAAAAAAAGAGGACTTGAGCACAAACCAGTCTTACAGTAACTACATGTCAACATCACAACCAGGGGGGAGAAAAAATTATATTCTGTGTAATTAATTTCTAAAGTTTGTCCACAGCTCCATAGGGATTGCTGGAGGAGGCGGCATTTATGGCCTATGCTGCAGCCCGTCACCAGAGGGTGCTGTTCTTGCAGTGGATTCACACAGCAAGGAGGCAGACGGCATCCATTCTATATACAGTCTATGGGAAAGACGCTGTGTTGAGGAGCAATGAGACTTCTCTCCATGCAGAGCTAGGGGACTCAGTGATGTGTTGGTTGCAACTGACTTGGCTCTTATGGGTGAATGATACTAGACTCTGTAGAGCCTTTGGGAGCCAAAAGAGCTGATTATGCTGAGCCAAATGATCTGAATCTTGTAAAACAGCCTAAATTACCATCACAAGGAGCATCTGAGGTAGTTAACTTGAGACAGAAAAGAGATCCAAACCTTGCTCTTACATGGTGAGATGGACTGCAAACAACTCAAGATTGTACATCCTTTGAAAATTTAATCTAATCAACAGATAAGTTCTTAGTGGCTCTATTAAATCTGGTACTGGGTAATTACTGCATCTAAATGGCTTAGAACAGGAGGGAGGCTCTCTGATGTACAGTATGTTTGTGAATCCCTATGGGTCTTTGTGGACTGTCTCAGAAAAACATCATGACCAAACTAAAGAAAAAAAGTCATGTAATGCTGTTTTTCTCCATGGCAACTGAAAGTAGCCATCACGATTATCCTCAGAACGACCAAACAAGTCCCTTCAAGAAAATGGACTTCACCATGAATTTAATGGAGAACTGATTATGATTTCAGTTTTTTCTTGCCATGTTGTAAGCACCAAAACACACTTTCACTTTGAAGTGTCCTTGTAAAGAGTGAGGAAAAACATTGTTATGCTGTCTCTTAATAAGGATGTTTTCCCTCTCCCGCCTCAGTGTTGTTCCTGAATCTGTAAAGCTCTCTAGTGCTTTTACGTTAATTGTTGACACAGAGAGCAATTTTCTCAGATAAGAAGCGGTAAATATTAACTCAGCGTGGTCCACTGCGTAAGGGTGCATGACATGATTATTATTATGTAGTGGCAGAAATGTTTCAATGCACAGATGCTTTTAAAATGAGACATGAGGAGATAAGTCTGTGTATTTAACAATCTTTAGTCAGTCATTATAAAATATCTTAGGTTTTACGTGAGGTATGATTATGTGCCATAGAAAAATCCACTTCTATCTTCCTTGTTGAGCTCTATTGAAGAGGTGCGTTTCTTTGTCTTCACATGTCAGCATCAAATTTCAGTCAGACACTCTTCTTTCATGTTGCACCTCTTATTAACCATGACAAGCTCAGCTGTCACTCTGAGATCAGCAGTCATTAGCAGCTGTAGCACTTACATGTGAAGAGACTCCTCATCTCTTTGTGGCTCTCGATTAGCATTTGCATTTTACTCAAACACCTGAAACGCACAGAGATGTGTTTAACACACGTTGAAAATTCTAATGAGTGTCGATGTTCATGCACTAAAGAAACATCATATTACACTGAATTGTTGAAGCGCAAGGTGAAACAAATCAGCAATTTCCATGAGTGTTTTTAAGACTTATCCTTTAAGAGGGTGCCCTTAACTTGACAGTGAAGGTCCTTCCACACCGGGAACGACGCAAATATACAACACAAAATTACAATGCAAAATTACTAAATATTCTGAGGCGAAATTTTGACGTACTTGACTATACACATCAAGCGTGATGCGATTCTGTGACTTTCCGGAGGGAAAAAAAGACGCGTTCCAGGTGGAAGTGCGAAGACTTACACAACAGCAGACTGCCTGTTTTTCAGTTCTGATTAGAGACTACTGTTGAGATGTCTGTCTGTCATGATAGCATGTACTGAGTCGGGGCCAGTAGCAGATAAGCACATTAAACTATAATCCATAAACGTAAGGTAACAACCAAGACCTAATGGTGCTGTGACAACAACGCTGTGATTGAGTTTGAGACAGTGAAAATACATATGGTATGTTGGATCTTAACAGGTTAACTTACAAGCTAAAGTTACTTAGCACAGATGAAAGTTAAAACAAAGACGTTTTGCAAACTGTTAAAGCACACAAACCATCGTCAAATGAGAAATTTGATGCTATGACTCTCCATGAGTTGTCCTTCAGGGGCCTCATTTATAAAGCTTGCTTACGCACAAAACCTGGCTAAAAAGTGCTTACGCCACTTCTTACGCAAGAGTTGGGATTTATAATAGAAAAACTAGTGTAGGAATGTGCGCAACTTTAAGCAAACTCCACACCTTGCTTACGCACTTTTTGGAGACAATCGGAGCGGTCCAGCGGTGGATAACGGAGCAGTTTCTTTTGGAACACATGCATGAGTGTCACGCATGCTTGTTTTTTCTGATCCTCACCTGTCGCCGCCACGCTTCGACGGTGC